AGACAAAATTTATTAAGAGCGCAAAGGACATTGTGGAGAGCCATGATCGCCTACTTACCGATGAGACACGGCACATAAAGGAGACACACTCTCAAATAAGTAATATCTCAGAATCATACACTCATATAAACAAACGCATACATAAATACAGACATCTGCATAAGATACACATTTATAATCAGAAGCTTTAACTATTACAAATTTAATGTTAATCGAAAGCCTTTCGCAATTATATCTATGACGTCCATGACCTTACTATTTTCTGCTCTTTTTTACTAGCAATTAATTTTTTATTTCACCTTTTTTTTAACTTCTGTCAAAGCTTCTCAATCTAGAGGGCACCATTTACCTCACTTTTTCTTCAATAAGTAAGATTTCATGTTATATGACTTCCCATTTTGAATTTTTACGCTTACTCACTCCTATAATATTTTATGAAACTGTTTGATTCTCTGGTCCATCATGATATCAATCTACCTCGGTTTCTCTTACAGTTATTCCCCAGGTTTAGTTTTTTTATCACCAGAAAAGTTGTTAAGTTCCATATTATATCAATTTTCAATTTTTCAGAGAAGCAAAATAATTCTAAAAGTTTAGACGAATCAGAAAGAAAACCAAGTTTCTAATATAAATCAAAAATGGAATCCAGTTGGGTGCAGTGGTGAATATATACATATTTTTTTTTATATACCATCTCTTTTCAAGGATTCCCACAACTTCATAATTTTTGTATTTTTGTTACTCTGAACACCACTGGACACTATAATTAGCTCATTGACAACTATTTTTATTAAACTGTAATTGATAAGAATATATATATATATATATATATATATATATATATATATATATATATATATATATATATTAATTTTCTATTAATACGAGTTTTTATTAAACTGTAACTGATGAGAGAATATATATATATATATATATATATATATATATATATATATATACTCTCATCAATTACAGTTTAATAAATAAATTAATAAATATGAACTAACTCAGATCATTGAAGAATTTACCTGATTCGCGGATGAGACAGATCTGCAGGCGAACCTCCTCGGCATTTTTTAACATCCTGCCCTGACAAATGCTCAACAAAAGTTTTAGGTCCCAGTGGCACGGCAGGTCATTCTCTAATCAGGGTCGTGTTCAGATTGACTCCAAAACAATGACATCCCCTGATTTGCCGTTCTATAGAACTGTTTATTACTATAATGGGTCAGACTGCAACAGTTTCCTGTCCCTTATGACCCAAATTTCTTCAACTATGCTGCCCCCCAAAACTGCTACCCTAATCTCTAAATGGATCTTTTCTGCAATGGAGTGTTTTTAAAATTCCAGCAAAACCAAACAGTCAGCCATGGTTCGCCCTGAATGCACTGAAGCCATAGCACGTAGGAACCATTACTTCAAAATCTATTCGATCGAGCGATGTATTCTAGCACTTACTGATTTCAGAACCACCCGTAATCGCTGTAAGAAAGTCTTTTAAAATGCAATGTGCATGTACGCATGATTCGTCCAGGCCAAATTTGAAAATAAACAAATTGGATCTCGCTAATTCTGGAAAATCACCAACCAAATTATGAACAGAGGCAAAGCAACTATGCCTACTATTATAAATGTCCCCGAGCTGTTATCCTCCTCAACCGACAAGACGAAGCTCTTCACATCGATCTTTGATAAAGGCCATCCCCTCCTAACCTCCCCACGTCTCACTGAACACAATTTCAATAATGTAATCATTTCAGCAAGAGAAATCTCTAGACTTATCAGAAACCTCAATCCCCCAAAATTGCAGTGGTCATCCTTAAGAATATCAGCCCATATTTATCCCCTATCTTAACAAAGTTATTTTACCGCTGCACGAAGGTAAAATCTTTCCCAATCATGTGGAAGGTGGCAAGCGAATGATCGATCTTCAAGAACGCAGGCAAACGACCCCCACTAAAAGTATAAACCTTTTAGTCTCCTCAGTATTAGCAGTAAGCTTTTTCTGGCCTTAATCCACAAGAACGTCGTCGAGTATCTGGAGAGGAACAACCACTTGTGCGATGAGCAGTATGGGGGTCTATCAAACCAAACAACTACTGACATCATAACTACCACTTCACACAGAATTTATGTCCCTTGACGCCACACACACCGCAAGGGCCATAGCATTAGATATGTCGGAGCTCTAAGACAAGGTGTGGCACAAAGGTTTGCTACACAAGCTCTCCATATATGGAATCACTGGAAGGGTTTTCTCTATTATAGATTACTTCTTAATAAGTATATACATGAAGTTACTTATTAACGTCCTGTCCTCCGAGGCCCTTGCGGTCAACGCAGGTTTCCCCCAGGGGTCACTTACAAGACCAAGCCTCTTTCTGATTTACATAAATGATCTACCGAAGAATAGACTCTGATTATTTGTGAACATCTATGCCGACGAGGATATACGGGCGCACCTCTAAAATTCTTGACGATCAGGGATTTGTAGCTGGTATCTCTTCCGATCTACCACTAAATTCCCAGTGGGGGAAAAACTGGCTAGTTACACACAATGCCTCTAAAACCCAACTGGTTATATTACATACCGCTGATCAGACCACGAAACACCGCTAGTCATAGTGAACGGATGTCCCCTAGATGAGTCCCCGATTCTTGAGAGTATACTGGGCCTCAAACGCACATCCAACCTCAAGAAGAATACCTATATAGGATCCATCGCTAAAGATGCAGGAAAAAATGATCGGTTTCTTGTGCCGCTCTTGTAAGTACGTGTTTCCTCATGCTACCTTTATAAGGGCCAGATCTGGAGTAATGTCGTCACGTTTGGGACGTGATTGTCCAGCCCACTCATTCCAGTCTTGATAACGTACGAAAGCGTCTCTGTGTCATTGTTGGAGAAGAAGTATTTTCCACAATGTAACCTCTCACAGGCGTGGTATATTGAGACTCTCACTGCTCTATCGCTAATACCATGGAAGGTGCTCGGACGAAAACCAACCTCCTAGTTCCACCAGACCTGACCTTCAGGATTAGGGCCCGCCATGCCACTTATGTAGGAGGAAATAACCCATATTCCCTCCGTATTCCGATGGCGAGATGTAAGAAAATGGAAATCACTCCCAAGAAGATGTTTCCAAGTTCACTACAATCTTCATTAATCTGCCTCCCTTATTAATATAAAATAACACTTAACGTAAACCTGTAATTTTTGTCTGTTTTCTTTTTGAATTTGTAGGTCTGATAAATTGGAATGGAATAAATTATGACCATGGCATTTTAGAGTTTAATCCTATTTATTATATCCTTACTCTGTCCTGGACATTGTTCTACTTGGATTCTATCCTGTTGCCAATAGAAAAATGCTTGATGCATATTAACAAAGATGAGGCTGTTATTTAAACAAAAAATAAATATACATTTTCTCCTGACAGGTAGCGCAACACTGGGTTTCATGCACGATGTAATTGGAAATTTATATATGTTATTATTATTATTACATATATATATATATATATATATATATATATATATATATAAATTAATTGGTGAAGGTCATTGTCCTCAAAAGAATGTGTTGTTCCACTTGCCTGGGAAACAGCATTCGACATGCTGAGTTTATCACGACCTTGAACACCGGCGAATATCTCCACTAGACAAAAACGAATTACATATGTCACCAGCATAAGTGATCACATGTAATGTATGCATTTCTCTGTATGTTTCGATGTGTGTCAATTCATGGTTGCTTATCTCTGTATTTTACCTGTAGAATCCTTCATAAATTGTTCTGAATTATTGATAGATTCTCAACCTTTCATAAACATTCTTGTGCAAATACCTAGATATGAATATGTGTGTATCTAATTGTATCCAGAAGCAAGAGGATCAACTATACCTCGGCGTGGTTTTCGTTTAAAATAACGGACGCTGAAGATAATGCTATGGGCTGAAGTAAATTGGATCAGTGAAAGAAATTGCAGGCCATTCGATGAGAAAGAAGATGATAAGTACAATTTTAGGAGCGAAGAGAAAGAAAAAAGAAGTGCAGGCTCTAGGAAAGCAGAAATCCCGAGGAAATGATTGGGTCTTAAAGAAGAGTAGGCGTTCAAAATTTACAACTGAAATCCATAAAAAATTAAGATTAAGTTTAAAAACAGAAAACATTCAGTAAATCATTTAGAAAGACACAAAGTAATTAAAACGCCCTAATTGACTTTTACGTTTGTGCTGGGTTTCTCTACCCAGAGCAATAATCAACTCTGACATATCTCAGGAGCCTGGGACCGCTTTCTGTAAAAAATAGCTATTGCCGAGAGACAGATACGCGCATCATTAATTTTGATGGTAATACTATGGAAGAAGGAGTTTAAAAATCACAGCAAAAATTAAAATATGCAATTAAACATGTCAGAGGTGCCAAGGACAGCTTTCATAAACACTAGTTATTTTCTTGTAAATGCAGATATTTATTCAACTGAATAAAAATAATGCCAAAAGCAATTGTGCAATTTCTAATTAAAAACAGATTTCCATCCAAAATTTTAAATATAAATATACGTACATTGTAACTCTCAAAAAAAAATTCTCATAGCACAAGCAAATATGTTTCTTAAGGATATTTCTGTTTTTTCTTAAGTGCAAAAATTGTTTACTAATGAAAAATAGCTTACGATCCAATACTAACTCAATGCCCATACGTACGCTGTGTGGGAAATATCACGCAATTTTATTTATTAATCTGTTTTCCACGGTCTATCAATCTTTTTAAAGTTATTCAAAGCCAGAAAATATTTTTTGCTTGTACACATGTTTTTGAGATAATAACGATTTATTGATACAAGTATTACTAATGAACCCGTAGCTTGGAGAAGAAGTGAATTCATAACTTTCCCAAGGGTATTTGCGCGTCGGTGAATAAAACAAACTAAACTGGAATTGGAAAAGGATTTTCAAATTAACCATTTCTTGTTATTACACGCACATCATAGCTTAAATCACCTGGTATTCCCAAGAGTTCGCCGACCTAGGTAGTAACCAGGCTTGATGTTGCTTAACTTCGGTGATCATACGGGAACCTGTTTTTTCAACGTGATATGGCTTTAATAGTATTTTTCATTTAAAATGTGTTTTAAAATTAAGGGGCTTAGAAAAACAGCATCTCGCGTTAGGCACTATTAAAATTTTCTAAGTATTTACAAAATTAATATCTCACTTAATTGTTGTCTTATCCTAGTCATGGCTCCTATACCCGTCAGAGCATTAGGCATGGGTTTAGTTCCTTGCGTTTCCGACTAGTTATGTCAACTACTTTTGCATCCATGCTGTGCTTGAAAGATCCAAAGAGAGATGAAACAATACGGTAGGAATTTCTTCTGGTGGTCAGGAGATTCGGTAAGCGTTTCTAGAAGGCTGTTATATAGGACATAAATAAATCAAATCGTCCGTTTATGAAAATAGGCGGAGTTAAGCGGAGCCAAATCGACCCCGTTATTACGGGTTCTACGGGGAATTTTTGCCCGGGACTACGAGCTCGAAAAACACACGTTAAACAAACCCTGTGTCACATCCCGCTCTGTGGCACTCGAGTAAATACCGAGTTAGCACTAGGTCTTAACCGCGTACTAAGCCCTGAGTGCTTGCTGAAATCCCTGCCTACGGGCATAGAGAAACCCAGACAAGATTATACCGAAGGGCAGAGTTTCATCTGAGGAGGTAAGTAAACCCAGATCCCGTTATTACAGGGTCTACGGGGAATTTTCGCTTGAGCCTTTTGCTCGCAGCGCCCCACGTAAAAGAAAAACGACCTTATGCCACATCCCGTCTTGTGGGGAGGACATGGATATTAGCATTAGGTCTATTGCTAAGTGTACTTTCGTGTAGTAAACCTTCTATTTCATGACTTACTTATGAGTTTGTCTTCCTTATTTATTTCCCTCTGTTTCTCGAAAACTCGAGATACAACAAAATGCCAGCAAATTAAAGAATCAAGTAACTCTGCTTAAACAAATAATAAAAATATTTGTCGTAAAAAAATATTATGAAACAATACATAATAGAAAATATAAATGTCTGCCAATTAGTTATTGAAAGAAAACAGTTCTTTTCAATGGGCGTTAATGTTTACAAGTGGGAGAGAGAAAAGAGACGGTGAGAAGTTTTGTCGGCATTACGAACCTATGCTAATCATCATGTGATTATCTTAATTTGAGTAGTTGTTTCAGAGTCTGGTATTTTTTTCAATTAGACATGTCTTCACAATGTCTTCTACTGCCTGGAGAGAATCTGGTGTCAGGGCGGGGGGAATATATGCTTCTTGACTCTTCGTCTCAGGTCTACTTTTGTAAGACTGAGTGTTTCAACCATTATGGACGAAATTTTCCAAACAAAAATGCTTCCGATTGATTATCCAAGTACAGACGATTTGTGTCATATTCTTATTAGTTAATCAAACATAGTTCGGGTTATAATCTACAGAAATGGGGGAAACTCCTAAATTCTTGATTAATCACTGCTTTTATTTATTACATACTTATTTGCCGACCAATGGTATTTAGATGCGAAAGGAATGAACTAGTAAGTGCCATATTTCATTGCAGCTGGAAGTTGGCTTTTAAGTCGGAAGGCAGCCAGAATGCCGTAAGTTGGTCTACTGCAACTGATCCATGTGCTGTGAATTTTGTCATTGTTTGTACTCATTACTTGGCAGTGACCATTCAATATGGATACCGATAACGGAAGCAAAAAATAAACACCATGTTCTGTTGAAATTTGACAGACTCGATCTTATTAAACTCAGTGACCTTTTAAAATAACAAAATAATAAGGAATTACTTTATTCTAGATAGAAATTTGTTAGAAAAAAGAAAGACAATTTTAATTGCTAATTAACAATGACATCGTATCACAGTAATTCTAAATTATATTTGACGACATATTTTTTTGTCGCCAACTGTGAATTTTGACTTATAAATTATTACGAAATGCAATTTGAAACAAATATGTTACATTATGTGAAATTAATTCATGTAAAACTTATAATGTTCTAAAGCTTCTTTTATATTTCATTTTCACTTGATCTAACAATGCCTTTTTTTGCAAATTTCATATTTCTTCCCATGGAACAAACTTCACAGCATTTTTTGCAGAACTCTTCTAATTTTTTTCAGCAAATGCGATACAAAATAAGAAAAAAAAACTTGAAAATTTAATGTTAGTGTTAACATTATCATATGCAAAGCTTGCTACTCGTATTCGTGGATACTCTTCTAATAGGGTGGCTAGCCAATCCCTATTGTAGATGCATGCCGAAGCGCATTTGGATTCATTCAACACCCACAGAGCGAACATGTAGTTTATACTGCAACCATGCTGAGCAGACCTGTGTCAGACTTTCTGGGAAAAAGCGCGATCAACAATTTGAACAAAGCCAGCACACTCTGTCACGATGACTTGAGATTTCGTGCTAGCCCATCTATCATAAGGGTGCTTCTCAGTTTTCACTCACTTGCTATGGTTTTCAGGCACTGATGTTATCAGAATTTCGACCCCTCCAGTTCGATAACATCAGGATATCTCCATCTCGACAAATCGGCCATGGTGAGATTCGAGACTGTGTTTCATGATAAGAATGCAAATGTTCTAACCACTCACCCACTAAAAAAGCCATAATAACACCATCTCAACAAGATGGTTTCTGCCACAAGCCATTTTTTATTTACTTTGTCCATTTAAAAAATGGAATTTATATGGAACTTGGCATTGAAACGTTAAAGTCGGTCAGCAGACATTTTTTGTCTATTTCACGTGATTCGATTTATCTGAGTCTTTTACAGACCTATTTGTAGATCTCTTACTTTTTCTCACTTGTTTCAGACACCAACATCGTATGCTTATCGACACTTCCTCGCAGCCACACTGTTTTAATAATTTGTGGCTTGAGATAGGCGTTTTTGTTTAAATACCTTCTTTTTTTGATATGGGACACAGAACAGAGAGATAAACTTCTCAACTTGAGTTTATCAAACATTCATCCGAACCCTGAACGCACTTCACATTTCGGTGAAAGATACCAATCATGTTTCAAATTTAGAGCGATTTTTTTTCTTTTGCGTCTTTTGCTTGTTTCAAGCTCTGAAGTTATGAAGCATTTATCATTAAACGTCCAATGATTATGACAAAACATTTTAAATCTTCTAACTCGCAATTCTAAAATTGTTTTCTTCGGTACAAACAATATCAGTGAAACGTTAGATGATTCAACAAAGATTTCCAGGACTTATTTTTTCAATATATATTTAAAACATGACATTAGATTGAAAGAAAAGGCTGTAGTCTTGATAAAAATAAAGTTTTATCGTCAAGATGTTTATTATTAAAAAGAAAAACCAATGAAATTTGTTAGAAATTTGTTGATTTTTTCAGGAGCATATATTTTGTCATACCCAGACAGACTGTTTCGCTGTATCACAGCTCATCAGTGTGGTGGTCTGTAGCTAGGATCGAAACACGACTAAATTGCCGTCAGTATATATATATATATATATATATATATATATATATATATATATATAGTTTTGACATAGCAGAGCGACTGTCATTTTCACAGTTTCATCATGCAGCGTAAATTAATATTTCCGTACTTCATCTATCTACCTATCTATCTATCTAGGAATATCTCTCTCCATATATATATATATATATATATATATATATATATTTTGAAAATCTTTTTAAAAATATTTTTTTTTACATTTATTTTCCCCACTTACATAATTTTATGAAATTTCGAGTAATTAAAATTTCAGACATTTCATATTTATTCTACTTAAAATCAGGACGCATTGTAGGATATATACAATGAATTTCTTTTGTCAGAAAGATACCCCATTTAACGAAATTCTGCTCTGAAACGTAAAATAAAAATACATTACAAATATGACATTATTTAATCAGAAAAAGGTTTTATTTACTGTTATAAATAAAATATATTATGTGTACTATTGTCTAAAGAAAGGTGAATGAAGGTGAAAGATGAATGAAGAATTTTTAAAATAATTGTTTTCATGTATTTAGTTTGAAATCTTTAAATACCTTTAATAATTTCCGCATGCAGATGAAATTATTAAGTGAAAATATATCCAATAATCATAAATTGAAAACCTTAACATAAATCATCAAACGCCAATATTTTTGAAAAAAAAAGTTTGAATTTTTTCATGTGTGTTTTGATTACTGGAAATATTAAATATATCATATGAGCGAGAAATCAAAGCTAAGATAAAATTTTCAAGAAATGTTTTACATTTTTAAAATTAATTTATATATATATATATATATATATATATATATATATATATATATATATATATATATTGTCATCCAGAGACAGACTGTTTCGCTGTATCACAGCTCATCCGTATGGATAGACGTCCGGTTGCATTTAGCCTACTTAATCGGTCGGAGATTCTACCAATAAGCCGTTGATGAACTGCAGGGATCAAGTTGAAAATAAGAATATTTATTTTTAGATAAACGCACAGTGACAGAGAGAACAAGATTGGATTTACCGAAGAGTCTTGCAATATCAGCCGTAATAGTAACCGTTTACAAACCCACACTTCCTCCCCAGAGAGCTCAACCGAAATTTTTTCATTTTTTTCAGGAGCATATATTTTGTCATCCCGAGACAGACTGTTTCGCTGTATCACAGCTCATCAGTGTGGTGGCCTGTAGCTAGGATCGAAACACGACTGAATTGTCGTCAGTATATATATATATATATATATATATATATATATATATATATATATATATATATATATATATATATATATATATATATATATAGTTTTGCCATAGTTATCACCATAGCAGAGCGACTGTCATTTTCACAGTTTCATCATGCAGCGTAAATTAATATTTCCGCTCTCTATCTATCTATCTATCTACCTACCTAGCTATATATCTCTCTCTCAATATATATATATATATATATATATATATATATATATATATATATATATATATATATATGTATATATATATATATTTGAAACAATACAAAAACATGTATATATATATATATATATATATATATAT